TTAGATTTTTAAAACAATCATGGAATTCATGGATTTAAGTCCAAAAAAATCTAGTTTTTAAAATGGAACTTCCCCCCCCCCCCCCGCCAATTTCATGGTGTTTCGAAATTCTGAATTTGTAAAAAAATCCCCACTCATAGTCATTTGTTTTAAATATAAAGTGTTTTTATCATGTTCTTTAAAAATTATGTTTTTTTTTCTTCTAAAAATGAAAGAAAAAAACATAATTTCTTGAGCGAATTATCTTTTCAACTTCTGTGATTTCAGAATTTTTGTTACTATTTTTTTTTGTCAATTTAAATAGCCAGTCATTGGTGAATTTTTTTTAAATTCCGAAATGAGAACAGAAAAATCGGGAGTACTTCTTTTCTCTCCGATGAACAAGAAAAGTATCTTTAGAATATAATTCTGCAGAAAAAAAGAAGAAAAAAAGCTGTCTGCTGTTGCATTTTTTTTGGCTATTTTATTGCTTCAACTCTTTCTTTACTCTGTTTTTTAAATATAAAAGCTATAAATATGAAGATGCAGAGTATAACAGTTTTGGTTATACCTATCATTTCAATGAATGTTATTATAATGCTTTTTTAAATTTATTGTTGTATTTTTGTCGGGTAAAATAGTAACTTCGATAAGTCATGAAAAATTCCCGGAATTAGTCATGAAAAGTCATGAATTTTAAAATCTGAAATGTAGCAGATACCCTGAAATATTGTGTTTCAAGTCAAACTACAATTTTTTGCCGGAGTTTGCAGTGGACATTCATTGTCAAAAATTCTGGATCAAATTACAGTGTAAGGTATCGAAACTTTATACGCATCATCCGTAAAATTCATTTTTATCGAAAAATATTATTCAGTATTTTTTACTGTAATTTAATCGGAATGATTCGATGACTTTTCTGTAGTTATATCTGATTTTTCTTTCCGTAGCATGTTCCCGTAAGAATGGATTCTATGTTAAAAAGTACTTGCATCTTTATTGTTTATACAACTACTGGTATTATAAAAAAATCATATTTTGGTGAAAATAGTTTTGACCTTCATCATGACTTTGACCATCTTTATTGTTTATACAACAGGGGTGTCCAACAGGCGGCCCGGGGGCCGCATCCGGCCCGTGAAGCCTTTTTTTGCGGCCCGCTTACTGAAATATATTAGTTGTCATTTTTTTGCGGACAATTTTCGTAAAAAACCTACATGGGTTTAAAATATTTTTCTCGTTAATAAAAACCTAATTTCTTCGTTTCACGTTTCTTCGTTTTAGAAATTTAACATACCAAACGGTGCAAAAAAATTTATTTCTCAGGTTTTGCATCCAAGAAAATACTTATTCAAATACAAAAATAATCGCGTATGTTGCTCTTTTCTATTTCATTTTTTTTCTTCGTATTTTATGAATATAATTTAGCATGTGCGTATCAGAAATTTTCTGGAAGAAATTTTCCGATTTAACTTTTCGAAACCACTCATTTTGGACGAAAATATTTACGC